TGGGGAATTCTGGGAGTTGGAGTCCACCCATCTTCAAGCTGCCAAGGTTGAGAAACACTGACCTAGAGTGTAGCGTTAATGACAGAGATGGCCACAGGAATGAAACTGCAATCATCATTAAGCTCTTGTTGTCTAAAAGGCATCTTATACTAAATCGCTCGATCCCAAACCACAAAAGCCAACGTCATCCAAAATTCATCAACTAACCTTTTCATCTTGGGATGACATTGGTGGGCTTCCCAGTGGTTTAGCTGGTTGTAACTGCAATTGTCTCTAGGGAAGTATCTATCACCCGCTCAGGTGCAGGATGCCACACTTTTCCAAATGCTTGCATCCCACACACAACGCATTCCTGAAAACGTGAGTTTACACTCCCATAAACTGCTCCCTTGTAATTTCACCTAGCAATTTTAAAACGCATATCTAACTGTTCACTCCTCCGTTAGCTTACGTGGAATAACTCCAACCAAGTTTATTGTCACATATTTCCAAGGAAGTGGACCCAGGGCTCCAGTTTAGTTCACTGGGTCCACACAACCAGAATTGCCCAGGGACACACAGAAAATTCAGTTCCCTTCCTGAAGACAGAACCTGGGATTTTTAGGAAGCGTAATGTGAAAAAAGCCATTGTGATCTGATATTCTGCGAACCAAACTGCAGCACTATGCAGTTTTGCTACATGGTTTAAAAATAGTGAAGAATTGCTGTTAAGTAAGAGCTCGGTCCCTGAAGTTTAAGAGCATTTATCAAGATCTAAACATAGTAAGAGTGACATAGTTCAGATGCTTTCAAATCAAACCTGTAATCATAGCCAAGAACTCAAGTGCATAATACTAATTGTGTAATAGTAAACAACATGCCAGGACAATGCAATTGCTCTGGTCACTTGCCTAAATTTGTAAGGGGGGGCCGGGGGTGGAATCAAAATCAAGGGCCAATTAGCTTCTGTTAATTACCACAACCCTACCTGAACTGAGCCTTTGTTTATTTTTAAGATTAAGTTTCCCCTAAAATTTGGCACGATTACAATACCCATTATCCTCACAGATTGTAGCTGCAGCCCACCACGCACCGTGCAACACCTTGATTCTAGGACAGCTGTACAGAGCTCGGTTACACTAGGCCCTGGGCTAACTAGCTTGCATCTTGCACTGCAACATTTTTCAGCTGGGCTCCAGAAGTCTGCAATACTATTTAGGAGTAAAGCTTAATGCGCAGTTACCTTGGAGCCGATCTACTGAGCCAGATCGTTCTGAGGAGGGGAAACCCTCCCAGGGAAGGTGCGCTGATGAAGGGATTTGAAGGCATCATTCAAGGCAGGACGCGGACTGCCCGAAAACACACGCTGGGTTCACACGTCGCGCTAAGCCAGGGCTTACTTAACCACCGTTTACTGAATATACCCAACTGGCTACATTCACACAACACAGGAAAGCGATCTCAAACAACCACATGATGATGGCTGGGCGCGACACGCGACCGTAGCCGTGTTCTGACACTCCAGGGAGCTGTCAAACGTCCGGGGGGAGCGGGAGGCTTTCAGCTTCTTTGCAGAATTACTGAACCGCTCCGTGCCTGCGAGTGAAGCAACTTCGGGGTGAAAGGGCCGGGATCTGCTTCTCCCGTCCTGATCTCTTACCCCGGAGGAACCCCGGAGGGGGCACTCAGCTCAAACCCCTGCCCCGCAGCCGAGCCCGTCCATTGTTCTGCCCTTCCCAGCGCTGCGCGCGCCTCTTATCTCCGCTGACCTAAGCCTGCCAGGAAAGCCACTCGCCCTTACTACAAAGTCCGGGCGTTTGTAAACACGCTCGCGCACAAACTCGGGTCTGCGCGTGGGCAGTCAACCCAGGCAGCGTGCGTGCTCGTGGCTGTTCCCGAGCGGCGAGGACAGAAGCGGAGGAGCAGTCCCGGAGCAACTCTTGCCCGAACAAGCCAGCATCCTTACCAAGCACGCTTGAAAACGGGGATTCCCTTTCAGAGAAGCCTAGCCAGCCTCCCTCGCGCAGGACCAGGGCGAGCTGCTCCCCCTCCTCCTCTCCAGAGATCTGTCAAGGCAGAAGTTCGACTCGGAGGAAGCTGCCTCCTGCAAACTTTTTCCACGGCGGTTCCACGCGCGGCAGCGTAGCCCGCCG